AAGTTTGCTGAACTAAAAATTCTCTGAACTTCTCCAAACTTCCCTGCACTTATTATTTACTTCATGTTTTACGCAGCTACGAAATTCGCAAAGTGTGATGCCCTTCTCCGTTTCTCGTTGATTTTCCGCGTAGTTCCATGTTCGAAATTGTTTGAACTTGTACGTAATTTCCTGAACTACTCCAAGTCCATTAGGCTTCAAAAAAGTGCCCTGAAATAAAATTGAGGTCTCAATAATGAGGTTCCCTGTTATAATATAATGTTCCCTTAACTTATACGAAGATCCAGTTATAGCTCTTGAGCTAACTAAACCAAATAGAAAGATGAAGTCATTAGCATAGTTGTGCAGTTGGACAATACACGTGTAGCAGTGGCAAGTTTGGTTCACTAGGTGGCGCTAGAGTACATTTATATCTACGTACATTTATATCTCAGGATTGAGAGCAAATAGAAGTTTTCTGTTTTGAGGAAAGATGTTCAATTCGATGAGATCCGTTTAGTAGTACCTAGTATAGTTGGAAACTGACTCACTAGGTGGTACTCAAGAGTAAATAAACTCATTAGGCGGTGTCAAAGTACAAATAAACTTCTTCTATAGATATCTCAGTATGGAAGCTTCGTATCTTCAGCAAATTGTCCAATTGAATGAAACCCAACAAACAATCGCATATTGAAGAAACCACTTCTTGACGATTTTATTCAACTGCATACTTAATAATACTTGAACAATTTTAGATAATAACTTCTGTTCAGGCTTTGTTCACACAAATCTGGAGAATCTATTCAACTACAACATAGTGTTTGGTTAAGGATATTGAGATGCTTTTATTTGACTCCCATAAGTTGTAACAGAGCTTATTTTATCAAATGTTTAATTATTCAGCGTTTATAGGACATTTTTGCTTCCTTAAACAGCGATGTTGTATACGCTTGATTATCTTGTGAAGTAACGTTTAAATTAGACACAATTATATATTTATTAAACGATTATTCAAATGCAGACAATTAACCCGAGTATAAAGAACGGTAGAGACAGACAAGAGTTGTCTTTTCTTTAGTGATTGTTTTCATTATTTCTTACGAAGCACGCACCACACAGATACTAGAAAATTTATTACATACATATACAATTGTATGTATATTATACATGTCCGTTATTGCATGGGATTCGAACCATGTACCTTCTGATCACCAGCTGCTTGCCTTGCCATCTGAGCTATCCTGGAATACATCATATATCAATAAAAGCTTGCCTTAAAGTGAATACCTATCAGCACTTCCGACCGTCCCAAGGTCCAGTGGGAATCATTAAGGTGTTTCGCTGTTATCTCGTAACCACTTCGAAACTTTAAGTGTACAAATATCAGCTTCCTCGAAACGTACCACATTGAAACTGTGACTTCACGTTTGCTGTACTGCAGCATACATGAAGTAGCAATTTCAGGTGAAATGGAGCATTCATTTTCGAGTTTTGTGTAATTGAAAATTCGAAGTGGAAGTGCATGTATAGCCTACTTGGCGGCCATTTGTGGACTCTACAAGGAATCACCTTAATTCATTCATCGTTGTTTTACATGAGACCAACTCTACCTCTTCACCTTTCCAATTTCCAAGGAAAGGATGCTGGGTTATTTATTAAACTAAATCAATGAATTTGTTGTCGTAAGTGATGTGATCGATGATTACGATTTAGAACACAAATAAAAAAAAAGGGTTGAGCTTGAGATTGAACTCCCTACCTTCTACTTGGAAAGCAAAAACGGTAACCACTACTCTACTGATTTCGTCTTGTTGTTAGCTGAATCAGTGTTGTGAAATATCGAATCTAATACGTCGTTTATAAAGCATTTACAAATCATGTGATTACAACATGAACGAAAAGTGGTATAAAAGCTATTTTGCTGGCTGTATCCACCTTTATACAGCAATATTGTAAAACAATACAATGAAATCTAATAATGGAGCTAGAAAGCATTTATAAGACGTTTATTATGCATTTAATTAAATCATTTGAAAACAGTTGAATTAAAGCGTCATTTTTCATTGTATGTGCAAATTACACTTACTCAGTTTGTTATTAGATCAAACTTCTGGTTATGAATCAGAAGACAGTCAACATTTATAAAGGTTTTAGTAAGTAAATAAATCATATCAGAGCATACAGCGGAATAAAGGCGCATCTATCGATCTCAATGAGCTTTTTTCAGCAGCACTTATTCAATATGTATGTTTATTTGTGACTTTGAATTGTTTGTTGGGAACTCATTCAGTAGTGATTAGTTAAGTTGGGAATTGATTCACTAGGTGGCGCCAGAGTGCATATGAACATCTTCTATTTATATCTCAATATCCAGACCAGATAGAAGTTTCATGTTTTCAGCAAAGTTGTTCAATTGGGTAGGACCCGTTCAGTAGTGGTTAGTTTAGTTGTTAATTTACTCACTAGATGCCAATAGAGTGCAAATAAACTTCTTTCAGTGGTAACTCAAGATCGAGACCAGATAGAAGATTTATGTTTTCAGCAAAGTTGTTCAGTTGCACGAGACACGTATAGTAGTGCCTAGTATAGTTGGAAATTTACTCACTAGAAGGCAGTCTGAGTGAAAATGAGCTCACTAGGCTCGTAAAAGGCTCTAGAATATTGAAAGCTATGATTATGATACAAATTATGAATTTTTATAGAAGTTGATAATATTTTCAAATAGTAAATATATGAGAATAAAAAGGTATTCTATTCGTGCCTAATCTTACTACACCGACAACAATAAGCTGCATTTTGGAAAGCACTCTAGGTAACTATACCAGGTTTCTAAATCTCCCATCGAGATTTCTTCGATCAAGGATACTCATAGGAACATAACCATTGATAATTGCTATATGATCCTCCCCAAGCAGCACACTTCGATCGAAATAAGCTGCTGCAACTTGATTGTGACTGGAATAAGTGGTACACAAGTAACCACAATTGTTCAGTGACATGTCAATTTATTTGTCTTGGCACTATAAGAAAAAAATCTGAAGGAAATACCTGCAGAGTTCTTACCCAACAAGGCATGAAAGGTTCAAAGTAGTGTGTTCGGATTTCAGAAAGAAGCCATGCTGGTATCAAATGTTCCAAAAATGAATCGAATGAAACACTGCTATCTATGTACAATGCATGACCAACCTTGACTACAATGAAACAAAAGGTGGAGTTGACACCGTCGATAAAATGTGTGCTGCTTACTCTGCGTCAAGGAAAACTCGACTTTTGACTAAAGGCTTTTTCTATGTACTATGTCGCTGGAAAGAATGCGCAAGTTATTTATATGGAATCTTCCAAGACAGAATGTATGCCACGCAGGATTTTCTTAAAACCTCTTGCTTTGGTGAAGGAACACCTCCAGGTACGATAAAAAAACGCAATTCCAACCCTTGCTGGATCATGATAAGGGAAGATGCAAGCATAGCAAAAACTCATCAACCATAATCCGTTGTAGTACATGCAACAGATTTGTTTGCAGAAAGCAAATCAACAATAGTGTCAACTAAACTTCACTACTAAACAGGTCTCATCGGTTTGAACAACTTTGCTGAAAATAGGTACTTTATATATGGTCTTGATACTCAGTCACCACTTTAAATATATTCTTGCGTCATCTAGTGAGTCAATTTTCATCTAAACTTCTTACTACTAAACGGGTTTTGTCCATTTAAACAACTTTGCCCAAGAAAGGAAGTTTCTATCTGGTCTCGATCCTGAGTTAGCACTAGTAGAACATTTTGTGTACTCTAACGCCACGTATTGAGTAAATTCTCAACTAAACTATTCACTATTAAACGGGTCGCATAATTTTGAACAACTTGCTGAAGATATAAAATCTCTATCTGGTCTCAATCCTGAGTTATCACTGGGTGAATTTTATTTGTCCTCTGGCGTTTCCTAGTGAGTCAATTCCCAACTAAACTGTTCACTGTAGAACGGGATGCGTCCAATTCAACAATATTGGCAGAATCATTCTATCTTACCTCGATCCTGAGTTATCAACAGAAAAAGTTTTTTGTATCCTCTAGCGCCACCTAGTGAATTAATTATGTACTAAACTACTCACAACCAGTCGGATAATGTCCGACTGCACAACTTTGCTCAAGATATAATTTTCCCATCTGGTATATTTCAAGAACAATAACTGGAATTGTTCACCGTGTACTCAGTACACAACGCGAATGCTTACGTTAATGTTTTTGACGCGACTGCTAAAAGAACTGGTCGAGCCTTGGTCGTTTGAACAACTTTTCAGTATACACGAAGCCTCTATTTGAAGAAGTTTATTAGCACTCTGGCGCCACCTAGTGAGTCAATTTCCAACTACACTAGGTACTACTAAACAGGTCTCGTATAATTGATTAAGTTTCCTGAAAACAAGAAACTTTTTATCTGGTCTCAATCCTGACATATCAACAGAATAAGTGTATTTGTACTCTGAACGGGTCTCGTCCAATTGAACAATTGATAGCTTTGGAATGCTTGCGTTCTTTAAATGGGCTATTGGAGCTACGGTAGAGCTGTCACCTTCTAGCTCCCGGGTTCCAGCTTGTTGCATTCATGAGAAATTATGGCAAGCATATTTTATCCATAATGCCTTAAACATATGTTTTTTAGTGCACAGTGTAAAATGCCGGTAGTTTATAATCACAGCCACCAAAGTTCCACAGCCAACTTTTTGCTAGTAATTTTTAAAACAAAAAAAATACTTATTCAAAAACTTGTTTTTTTACAATCTATTCCGATATTTTCATTAAAAACCATGCAAGCTTATATTTTTCCCTGATGTAAATTTACTAAACACAGAATTTTTCCCAAAGAATAAACTAGTTTCATCCACTCATTCCGGAGAAAACGCTGATAGCCGGTAGCTGCGATGATTGATCAGCATTGCGCGTTATCATATTGATTAGATAAACAAACAACAGCAATTTCAATTCAGAATATTTAATGTTCAATAAAAAATCACACCTTACCTTAAGTTGTTCTATTTTGATGGTATCCATCATGCGTAAAACCAGCTGTTGATTCCTTTACAATGCCAATTAAAACTTCAAACCCACACTCCAACAGCCTATCAACATCGCACAATTGGAAGTCGCATGCTGCTAACAATCTCCTCCCTTCCAAGCATAACTCAAAACTTCATCCTTTCTGACCCACGATCAATCACTGAAAGAAAATCTTCACGACCACTTCCTACTCGAAAGGGAAAGATTCTCACGTCACTACAGACAATGAACACAACCACACCTTCTGTAAACCGAAACCGCCGCCGTCCGTCGCTCTTCGCCTGTCCACTCACAATTCTGCCCTAGCCCCAAAACAAACCGCGCACGCAAATGAAAAATCGGCACTGCTCTGAAACACCGCAAATTTTCTCACCCACCGACACGGAAATAGGAAACACCGTCGCTTCGCGCGAAACAACTCAACTCTCCGAAACACCTGATCCAATTCGATCAGATCGGTACGAATGACTGGAGGAAGCTTTGCCCGTGTTGGCGAATCTCGCGTCTCTCCCACCAACCTATACTCACTACTAGTACGTTGTGTGCTGCTGTGGGGTCTTATGCTTATTTTTGCTCGCTACAGCTTCCATGTGCCACACGAGTGAGCATCCATTCATATGAGCCTCAGCCAGTCTCCCATTCCTGTCTTCTTTCATTTTGAATCTGTTGGTTTGCTCTCATCCAAACGAGCGAGAGAAAATCATGAGCTTTCGTGAGCGGGAAAGTTTCTAGTCTATTGGCTCTCTTTTTCTCTTGAGAGAGCATCGTTGTTTTGTACATAAAGCTGGGTTTAAACAGGGCAAGTCAATTGATCAAGTCAGTTGAATTCAACTGACTTGAACGCGAATTGAACGTGTAAACCATGCCATTCAACTGACTTGATCAACTCACTTGAATTGAAAAAAGTTGAACCAGGCTCAACTTTGCAAGCCAATTGAATTCAACTGAGTTGATCATTTGACTTGCCCTATCTAAACCCAGCTTAAGACGAGCATGCGAAGCGATACACGATATAAGCTTGAAATGGGCGGGGCTTATATCCATTGCCCATTCTCCTCTTATGAGGGATCCGATTTTCCCTTCACCCTGATTTTTCCTACCCACCAGGAACAACAATGTTTAAGCATTTATAATCACCCGTGCAAGCACTGAAAAAAAACCCGTCAATAGTGAAATGAGCGTCAGAGGGGTTGGAAAAGGTCCCTCCAACGCAGGAGCCTTCCGATCGGGTCCCGTTGGGAGAGTTTTGCACCACTCACTTGAAACTTTTTTTCTTTCTCTTTATTCACATTCTGGTAGAGTTTTATTTTTTGTTGTTACTGAAAGTTTGCCGTTTTATTGAGAGCAATTGAAATTGAATTACCATGCGAATGAATAATGACTTTACTACTCACTCCACGTAGGACTACAACTAGGCGGTCCAGTGCAGGGCAGTGGACATTTGATGACTTTAAAGAGAAAGAGATGCTGTTAAAGAAGGATGATTTAAGGTTATCCGGGAAGTGGGTGATAAATTGATACTGGTATGGACGGAAAATTATGATGTTTCTGATGTTATGATCATTGCATGTACTTTTAATCTTATACATGACCTGATAAATTATAGCATGACTTCATTATGATGAAGAAGTTGTTCCTTTTATGAGCCATCAAGACAAGTGAATATCGTTAATTTAACGGACTTTCTTCAGTTAAAGCCTTTTATGCGGATTGCGACTTAACGACTACAAGTTGCTGTAATTTAAGATTTTGTGACTTAAGGTCATGTCTCCTTATTGGTTCCGTTGACTCATGTTAAATATTCAGTCATTTGGATAAGAACGAACCGATTATCTTTTAATGCACGAGGCAAACATTATGGAACAAAGTAAACTAAAGTCAGCCACCATCCAATTCAAATCATAACCTTATAATATGAACCTGTTTCGAAAAATTGTGACGATTAAAGAAAGTTCATGTGCCACATTAACAATATACTCGCTCTAAATAACTCTACTTGAAAATAATCTACAACCCTGATTTGTTTTAATGGAATTGAAGCTAATGACTGGCACATATTTAACCATAAATTTGCACTACTGTGTAATTTTTACGTATTTCAATCTCCATTTTTTGAAGTCTGGGATCTTAACAAAATCGGAATCAGCAATTCAGATTTTTTTTTCCTTGATTTGTTTTCCGTCGAGTCCAATGCTACCGACGCCAGGAAGGCAGCTCCCACACCTGGACCCTACCTATCGACCCATCAACTCATGAACCGGGGACCAACGGCTTTACTTCCCGAAGGAAGGCGTGATCAGAGAAGTTATGCCTTAGAACATCCCGGCGGCGCCGACTGGGATTGAACCCAGGACTGCTGGGGTGAGCGGTAATCACGCTCACCACTACACCACCGGCACCGCTAGAAAATTTGTTGAATTCGACGATTTTGAAAATGATCTCAAGATCTGTCGAAGTACTAGAAAAATGATTATCATACAAGTCCTATGTAAACGTATGCGATGTATCGAGTTATCCCGTTAGTTTCGATTCAAAACGAAATTTCGTGGAATATCGCGGAACATTTTGAAACTGTTTTTTTCTTTTCTTTTCGTATAGATAAGAAAATTTCGAGCTCAATTTTTCAATGTAAACTAAAAAATGTAACGGAATTCCGCCGAATTTCATTTATTTATAATATCCCTATCCAAACACATTTCTGAACACAACTAAGTTCGTAGAAAATGTTGTCCTCTAAACCTGGTAGTGAAATTTTACATCTTTTTTCCACATATTGAATATCAAGGGCAAGTTCACTAAGTGGACTATATATTTTCATGGAGAAATGCATGGACAAGAGTTGATACAATACGTAAGGCTGTGGAGTCGGACCGGAGTCGGAGCCATTTATTAACCATCTGGAGTCAAAACCAGTGATTTTTTTTATAATTCTTCCGGTAGAAACATCATTAATTTTAACTTTGACTCCAGATGATACCGGAAATGCCTCTCACTCCAATCTGACTCTTGTCCAACTCCATAGCCTTATAGTTAGTAAGAAATATTTGGCAATTTTCAACCTCTTATTCTCTTATTGTTTCACTCAGTCAAATGAAACAAAACTAAAAACTAAAACTAAATCTTATTTAACTATAAAGAGAATTAATCGTTGCAATTGAGGATTGCAACGATTTTTCCCTGAAATTATTAATTATTTTGTTGGACATTTGTTCTAAAGTCTTAACATTCGAAATTCTATGTACCTCGGTAGTACTGTACCAGGGAGGCAACTTCAAAATCATTTTCAGAACTTTGTTCTGAATCCTTTGAAGTGCTTTTTTCCTGGTAGTGCAACAACAAGACCATATTGGCACAGCGTAAAGCATGGCCGGTCTAAAAACTTGTTTAAATATTAGAAGTTTATTCGTCAGGCAAAGTTTTGATTTCCATTTAATATATTTGTTACATTTGGCTTGAAGGCCCTCAATGTGATCTTTAAAAGTTAATTTTTGGTCAAGAACTAATCCAAGATATTTCACTTGACTTGACCATGAAATTGGAACTCCGTTCATAGTAAATATCTGACTACTACTAGGTTTCAAAAAGGAAGCTCTTGCCTTATGTGGAAATATTAAAAGTTGAGTTTTGGAAGCGTTGGGAGAAATTTTCCGTTTTTGTAAATAAGAAAAGAAATATCTAAACAAAGTATATAACTATAACACGAAGACTTCTTTTTTCTGCGGAAATACCTGTGTAATCGGCAAACAACGATTCGTGGTAACCCTGAGGTAAACTATAACTCCGGAGTGATTCGAGATTTGGGCGACATTCGAGATTTTGGCAAACATTTCATTTTCTGATTTCTCGTCAATCTCTGATTCCTCGCGTATAAAAATCAAATCTCCCAAACAAACTATACCAAATGTAGAGGAATCATTCCGCTACCAAATTGTGTTATTATTTTTCGGGATTGAGCTTCTATTCGCAAGAATTTGGTGATTTAGGGGTTTGTTTACAAAAGCAATCTTATAGATTCAGCGGTTGATGGTTAATTTTTAAGGGGGTAGTACACTTTGAACGTCCAAAAAGTAAGGCATTTTCGTTAATTTTTTTAAGCAATAAAACACTCAGGGAGGGCAAATATGTTATAACCCATTTATTAGTCATCATTCGAACTACAATTTGTATTTTTTTGAACTCGATTGGCGTCTCCCCGTGGCCGGTGCACCAGGTCGCACGGGCGTCCTCCCGCGGAAGTCGGAAAACGGCGTGGGAAAATACTCCTTTCCATGTGATCCTGAAACATAAATCGAACAAAAATCCTGATTAGTAATGAAATTTGGGTTAGAAATACGTATTCCGATTTTTTTTTTAATTAATTTTTTTCAAAAGTTGTGGCCTTAGGAAAAAAAAAGTCCATTTTTTCACCCTAAAAATGCTTACAAAATCGTGGATTAAAAATCCATTTTTGACAAAATCGAAAATATGGATACGTATTTCTAAGCAGAATTTAATTCTGAACAAGAAAACCTAGACGATATCCAAATTTGATGATAACTTGTTAGAGTTATTTCCCACGCCAGTTTGAAAAACCCCGTTTCGAGATAAACGCGTTTAAAGATAAAATTGCTCTCTCAGCGCGCCGCACACTGGGGCAGATCAGTGATTTTCTCGGAAAAAATTAATAACTTTTGAACAAAGAATCCAATCAGTATACTGTCTTCGGTAAAGTTGTTTGTATTAGTTAAGCGCTTCTTCTGAATAAATTAATTAGTATTATGACAGTATTCTGATTGGATGCTTTGTTCAAAAGTTATTATTTTTTTCCGAGAAAATCACTGATCTGCCCCAGTGTGCGCCGGTACATGTTTTAGGAAATCGCTTCGTAAAGCGGTAAGGAATATTCTGGCGGACTTGGAGTCTTTTGTAAATTAAAGTATACATCCCAAGAAACATTTTGGGTAAAAAAAAAATGCATTTTTTTTTAAATCAAAGTGTACTCCCCCTTTAATACACAAATAGTACTGCCTGCGGTGACTACGACGGCGACTACGACGGCGACTACGACGGCGACTACGACGGCGACTACGACGGCGACTACGACGGCGACTACGACGGCGACTACGACGGCGACTACGACGGCGACTACGACGGCGACTACGACGGCGACTACGACGGCGACTACGACGGCGACTACGACGGCGACTACGACGGTGACTACGACGGCGACTACGACGGCGACTACGACGGCGACTACGACGGCGACTACGACGG